GAGAGAGAGAGAGAGGAGGAAGCAGGCTTCTTGCTGAGCAGAGAGCCCGATGTGGGACTCGATCCCAGGACCCTGAGATCATGACCTGAGCTGAAGGCAGCGGCTTAACCCACTGAGCCACCCAGGCGCCCCTGAGAACTTGCTTTTGATAAAATGCTGATGCTGCTGGTTTTAGTACTACTGCTCAAGACATTCATTCTACTCGACAATGGATTAAATAGAAACTACCATTTCCCATTAAAAGGTCTTGTCCTTCCCTCTCTAGAAAAGCTACCTGTTAATTTAGTGTGTGTATATATACAACTCTGTGTAAATATATATGACTACATATATAGACGTATCTGTGTGTCACAACTTAACTCACTGTGATCACTAATCACTTTTAAATAAGGTTTCCCAATCTATGATGAACATTAAATAAGAAATACTCATGAATCTAGTTTTTTTAAAAAACTGGTCAGCTTTGAAACAGTGTTGAGTTAAATTCTGCCCTTAGACTATCAACATTAGGGGTGCCTGGGTGGCTCAGTCAGTTAAGCCTCTGCCTTCGGCTCAGGTCATGATCCCTGAGTCCTAGGATGGAGCCCCATATCCCCACCACATCCCCACATCCGGCTCCCTGCTCAGCAGGGGGCCTGCTTCAGCAGCAACCCCCCTCCTGCCCTCTGTCAAATAAATAAATAAAATCTTAAAAAAAAAACAACCATCAACATTAGGTTATTAAATAATTAAATACAGGAATCTACGGAATTTTCTTAAGAAAAACTTCAAGTGCTTCAGAATCGTATTTACTAACAACTGATATGCTAATTTTAACTAATTTATACATATCATTATAGTAAGCTCCCTTAGAGGTTCCAAGGTCCACACATTTATTGGAATAGTTTCTCATCTACCTCCCTGCCCCTACATGCAATGGGGTAATAGAAGGCTAGGTGAGAGGAGCATTTAATGAATTAAGTTATTCTTATTATGAAGTAATGTTAAAAGAATATCATTACTAAGAAAGGGCAATAATGTCAGTATCCTTCTGTGATCTGGTAGTTAAACATACCATGGTTTTTCATTTCTCACCAACAGAATTAGTGCTTTGTTCAGTAAACAAGTGTTTCAAATATAATTGCCTTAAGGTACAAATTTCAGACTTACTCTATGAGTGGTGCTCCATATAGAACAAAAATGACATGAAAGAAGAAACATGACATAAGAAAGTAGATACAGCATTTCAAAAACCTCGCTACCTAAAAAAGAAATGAGAATGATTTGAAGGCTCAAGACAATGCCTAGAGGACAGCAAATGCTTCCACTTTATCTTCAAACACAACTTATTCCCAGGTGTACAACAGTTGAATGTTCTTTACTTTGGGAAGCTTGAAGTCAGATTCCATCTCCTGTGCACAGTGCACGGACCTCCAGACAGCCCCACAAAACAGCCTACAAGTCACAAATCACTACCCATATTCCACCCACCCAATCAGCACTAGAATCAAAAAGCATTTCTGTTCCTATGGTATGCACTGAGCTACACCACGAATCAGTATTTATAAAATATTTACCAACAACAGAACGCTATGATACCAAAAAAAACAGACAATCCTTATTATGTGATACATGAAATCTTTGCAGAAAATAAGGACTACAGTTTTTTTTCAAATCATATTCATGTGACTATATGATGCATATGAAAAAAGACCTGCATGTCTACAAATCAGTGTGGGACCTACTTGATTTGGAGTGCAAGAAGATCTAATTACAACAGACACAGTGAGTTTTTTAATCATAGAGCAGTAAATGTGTTTTAAATTATCTAAGAGAGCTACACATAGTATTGGGTAATGTTAAGGGAAGATTTTATTAATTTAAAGTAATAGTCAAGTGTTATAAGATAGTGAACATTTCAGAAAATAGATTCTGATATCTGAAAACTTTAACAGTGTTTAGTCGAGGAAGGCCATGTTCAAAACAAAGCTACCACAAGACTTATTTTGTAATTTCTGAAAAATCCATTTTCTCTCAGAAATGGAAAAAATAAATGAAAATAAAATGTCTTATAAAGTTTAAGATATGACTGCTACGTCATGAATTTATCTTCAGCGGTGACTTAAAACATGACCATCTAGGTTCACAATGCTGTAATATCCACTGAAGACATCCTAATTCCACAACTGATGCATGGCAAAGGATCTATCAAACATTGTGGGCAGCCTTCCAGCAATAACAGGCTACTGATTTGAAAAAAAATAAAAAATCAGGTTCTCTTTACTCACTGTAAATAACCCCATAAGTACTTGACTAACACTTTATTCTTTCATTAAAAGGAACACTACCCCTATCTAAAAATCAGTTATCAAGAAATAAGTCTTACCTTGTATGATAATGAACTTCTTTTAGAGGATGCATTTGGTTTCACTACTAAATATAATACCAGATTGACGGCAGTTACAAAAACAGAACAGATGCACAACCATGTCAAGTGTGTTTCCAAAATTGAGAAGTTCTCCAAGAAGAATGATGGGATGAAGATGCTTAGGATAATTGAAAATATGCATAAAAGATGGGTATACAGTAGTCTCTTGATATCAGTATCTTTCATGGTGTTTTCTTGAGAGGCTATCTAATGAAAAACAAATTAAGAAAACAGCATATCCAATAATGATTTTTTCCATTGTCTAAATGCTCCAACGCCTAAAAGCATGAACAAGTCAATTTTCTATGCGCAATGTATTAGTTTCAGAATATGGTAAGATGCATATGTATAAATGTACATGTAGACTAATATGGCTCAAAAATGTCTCAGAGCCTAAAAAGGACAAATTTACTAATTCCTTAAATATTTGTAACTGGTTTCTGTAAAAGGATCATGTACTAGGACCAATTAAGGGATTTGTTTTCTTTTTTCTTTCTCTTTTTTTGCCAAAACCAGAGGTGAAAACAACATGCACAGATTAATGATTTGCTCTTGCTGGAAGTATAATCTATGCATTCTAGGAACCCCATGAATACACTTTAGCCAAACTGTTGGCATTTTTTTTAATCATTGTGGACCCTTGTCTAACATCACAGTAGTTCACATCTTCTGGCAAATGACAAGTGACACCAAGTGCACACTTGAATACTCAAAACGGTGACCAGTGTAATCAAGAAAGTTCAAAGAACATTATGCTAAACTCAGGGATCCCAATGCTCCAGAAATACCAAAATGACAATGTCTGTTACACGTGCTAAGTTCCAATCAAAAGTAGATCATAAATAGGAGAAAAAAAGTCTACTTTCTTTGTCTCTATAAATTACTCATTATATGTATATGTTTATTCATAAATTACCTAACACAATACATAACATATTGTTACTAAACTACTTAGTAATGTTAATACTAATGTTAGGTACAATACTTAATATTAAGTAGAACCTTATTCATTTAAAGTAATAATCCACTGTGGTGAATAGTCCAGAAAAACAAAAGGGCAAGTCCAGGCCTTATCCTAACTGCTCTGATATAATTCTGTAATTTCCCAAAGCAAATATTCTACTGATAAGGAAACAGCCAAAGACACGTTAGGAGACAGGTCCAAGGTCCCAAGCTCCCAAGCTCCCAAGCACTAAAGCCACATCAAAACCTCGCCTCTTTGATATAAAGATACATACTCCGGGTTGAGAAGAGAATGAACAATAGAAGGGGAAAAGGAAAAGTTTCTCGCAGGTCCTATCCTCTGCCGAATGAGAGGAATACACCATCTCAACAGATACCTCTTCGGATTTATTTTTCTGGGCCCCTCTCAGAATCCCAAATGACATGAGTAGATCTGGATCTAATACAGTGCGCAGCACCCAAACTCAGATGCTTACTGAATGAATGAACAAGAACGGAGGAAAGAGGGTGGGTCCTGCGAAAGCAGTCCTAGGGTGGGCCCTGCAAGCACTCGAGGACACCCGTCTGGCGCTCCTCTGGCTGCCACCGCCCTGGCCTCCGGGGTCTGACCTAGCCCGGGTTCCCAGGTCCCGAGGCTAGCACAGGAGGAGCCTCCGCGGAAATCGCCAGGACCTGTCTCTGCAGCCCCACCTCAATTCGGTCGCTCAGGACTCTGCGCAAGCCTCACCCAGGGCAAGTGTGAGCAATGGGGGACGCGCTGAGAAGCATAATCAAAGAGCACCCTCGCGGAGACCAGGAGAAACGGAGGGCCACACACAGAAAAACGGATCTGCAAGAGGGCCGGGTCCATCAGGGCAGCCCCTGGGTCATGCAGGAAGGGTGGCGCTCGGACTGACGGCGGGCGCGGGCTGGCTGGGGGCACAGATACTGTCGGCCACATGGGCAGTTGGTGGGGGCTGTCCGCACACCCCGGGAGTCTCGTGTGCGGGGAGGGTTCGGCTGGGCTTACCTAACTCTCCCGCCAGCGGAAGAGAAGCGGAGGTTACTACCTCCAACCATCAGGTACGACTCGCCGCCCTAGCCCTCGCGCAGGCGCAGGCCTGTGGGACGGAGACCCAAGATCGCACAGCCAATTGCAGAAGCGGAGGGGCGGGCAGTAGGAGCAGCCCCGCCTTCCAGCTCGCGTTTAATTCCTCCCGCCGCTTTTCAGGTGTGGGATGGGCGGGGCGATGGGCGGAGGGGCCGGAAGTGGGTTGTCGTAACCCGGAAGGGGAATGCTTCCCTGGCTGTTGTGTTGACATTTTCAAGCTGCTGCTGTTTCTGCGGCCGAGGGAGCCTTCGGGGAAGGATGGTGTGCGAAAAATGTAAGTTAAGGGGCCACATCTTTGGGAGAAGGAGGCTAGGCGAGGCTAACTGGAGTTCTTCGGGTACTTTGCGTTTTATTTTTTTTCTTTCGGCCACGGGCCTCCGATTCCGGCCTTTGTCGTGCTACCCCTTTGACCATTCCTTCTCTCCCCAACGACCGTATAGTTATTCTGCGTTCAAAGTGGTCTGTTTTGCACTCATTTGTCTATTTCCTTTGTCTCCCCCAACCCGGGATCTCACCCCGACAGATCTTGACTGGTTCCTTCGCTTCACAGACCCTCAGGGTTGGAATGGATCTTAAAAGATATACAATATCTAGAGTTTCCAGATTTAGCAGGCATTAAAAATATGAATACTTTTATTAGGAGAAGTGTGTCCCATTCAATATTTGAGACTTGTCTTTGCTTGCTGCTCCTTACTACTGAAAGTGCTGTGGACTTACTTTTAGTGACAGTACTAAAACACCATTCATTGTTTGAAATTTAAATTTAACTGGGCATCCTATATTTTAACTAGCAACCCAAAGTTAGCAGCCTGTCCGATGGCTTAAATGCTCTTTGCATGAATACCTGTGGTATTGAGGCAAGGTTCAGAAAGTTGCACCACCTTCACAGTAGTCTGTATCGATGTCACTGGCTTTTAGAAAAGTCCTTCCTCCCTATAGTTGCCATCAATAATTCTAATATAAACTCTTGAGCTTTCTAGAAAATATGGCTTTTTGATGTCACAGACTGTTTGCTTTAAAACAGCCGTCATACCCTAAGTCTCTTTTTCCTCAGGCTGGACATTTCTGGCTCTTCTGAGACAAGGGTTCAAGTCCTCTTATCTGGATTTTGTTATAACACACCCCCCCAACAGTAGATAAACCTTTGAACACAGGCACCCATGAGTTTGAATCACAGTTTTTACATTAGGTAAAAGAATAACTATGGGTGAGTTATCTAATATTTCTTGGCCCCAGTTTTCTCATCTGAAAAATGAGAATAATACATAATTTATGGGTTTTGTGAGAATTAGATAATGTAGGTAAAGCCTGATAAAAGTGCCTTAGTGTATATTCAAAAACTGGTTATTTCTATCATAACCACCAATGCATGGCACTCAGAATTAAACTCTGCTCCATTTTATGAGGGGTAGAGTGGAACTAATATTTCCATTTTTCTGTGCTTTATATCATCATCTCATACTAAGCTTTTAAAAAATTATTGCAATGTAATTGACATAGGTACAAGTTACCCATTTAAAATGTACCATTCTGTTATTTTCAGTATATTCATAGGGTTGTGCAACCATCACTACAATTTTAGAATATTTTCATCACTCCAAAAAGCACATGAAGCTTTTTGACATTGACATCCTTTAACTCTACTCCATCCAGTACCTAAGAAGTTTTTTTGTTTTGCCTGTTTGAGTAAATATGACTTACATGTATTTAGGTTATGCACCTTCCTTGATGTCTTCTCTCTTATGTAGTTTGGTTCCTAAACATGTAAATTTAGCCTTTTATGCAATTTGTGTTAATTCTGTATATTTTAACTTTAGAGGACTGGTATTCTGCCTGGTTTAACTTGTTTTGTGTGATGTTCTTACACCATAAATGCATTTTCTCAAGGAAATTGAGGATACTGGGCAAATTGTGAGAGTTAATTTCCTAAGGTGATAAAAATTCTGAGAACCCAAGATCTAATGTGGTATTAAAATAAATACACATAGTTGGATCTAGACGTGATATGTGTTCTAAAGGGTCACCTGCTTTTTACTTCTCTGCACTTCTGAAAGTCTGTGTATTATTTCTTTGTTCTAATACCTTTCTACCTTCTATAGACTCTTATTTTTCAAATAAAAATAGAGTCTTAAGTCAAAGACCTTTCTTTCAGTCCTTTTCTATTCTGTGACTTTGAAACTTGGTCTCAATTCTCTTTGAATTTACTTCTCCATGTGCTTCTTTACCATTATACTCTCTGAGTTTTCTTATTCTCCTTCTCCCTTAAAATAGATGTTTTCTAGTGATCTGTATCTGACCTTCTTTTGACATTTGTTTTGGAAATATCTGGCTTCAAGTAGCATATCCATGCCAGTCTAATCCACATCTCCAGTCGACTTCTCTCTAAAGTAAGACCAATAGAAGAATTTTCTTCAGACAATACTGGGAACCTCCATCTGGTTGTTACATAGCAGTTTAGTACTTCCAAGACTGAATTTGTCACCCTACTTCACAAATCTGTACCTTCTCTTCCATCATTTAATGGCATGGCAGTCCTCCCAGTCACCCATTCACAAAGCCTGAATCATCTCTCATGCATCCCCCATCCCTTTGTGAATCTGCATCCAAACACTTGCATGTCCTGCTGTTTTTACTTCCATTCAATAGCTCATATTTTCCCTAGCCTCTCATTTACCCCTCAAGTACCCTAGCTGAGGTCCCCATCACTCAAGTTAGACTAATGTGATCCCTTACCAGCCCCTTTCCCTTCAAACTGTGTTCTCCCTGCCTTTGGCTCTTCTCTCTCTAAACTGTCCTGCATGTGTGTTTGAAGGCCACTGGGGAAAACTGCACAAATGAACCAGTTGGTACCACTAAAAGTGCACAATTCCTAATCTCCAGGATCTTTAATACTACTCATCAATCTTTTTTACTTCTCTTTAGTCAGTCCCCTTGCCCTTTGTTGCTATGACTATTCCAAGTTCTCCAGTCCCTTAAACTTTAACAACTTCATCTACCTCATGCTCTTTTGACAAATACCTTCTTATAGGCATAACAAAAGCAAGGTAATTAAATGGGAACATTCTCAACTTCTTTTACTATACCCATAAACAGATCTGCATCCGTGCCAATTTACTTCTTTCCCTTTCTTCAAGGAAAATTCTACTCGTATCCCTGTTGTCATCCCTCCCTACCTCTTTGTCTCTGTATCCTTTGGAATCTTTAATCAGCTCCCCTTCCGTATAAAAATGCTCAGTTAGACCCTGACTCCACCTTTCATTCTTGTATTTTGTCACCTTTTCTTTTCATTCATGCAACAAGTATTATATGTCTACCAAATGCTAGACAGTAGAACCAAAGGGTAAAGACTTTGTCTTACCATCCTTCATCATTATGCAAGGACATGGTTTAGAGTAATCACAAGATATTTGCATTGAACCTAAATATACGTGCACTCTATCACTTTCTATATTTAAAACCTTTAACAAATTCTCAGTGCGCAGAGATTAACTTTGGGTTTCTATATTTAGAGCCTGGCATTCAGGATGACCCTCCACAATGAGACTGGCTTATCTTTCCAACTTTATTTTCACTTACTCTTACCCTCACTCTTTGGCCAAACCACTCTTTGCTTGACCATGTGTACCCTGAGCTTTCCATGTCTTTCTTCAGGATACGTCCTTTCTCTAGTTTGCTTTCATCATCTCTCTTCCTCTTTCTTCACAGTCCCACTGCCAGATCCAGACCCTCTTCCTGCCTTCTTCACAGGCTTTCCTGGACTTCCCCAGCTAAGGTTATTTCTTTCTCCATGGAATTTCTCCTAGTACTTCAGTTGTCTGCTACTATGCTTTTTATTTTCTAGTTTATATTTTGGTTTGAATGGTTCTTTTTCAGAGGTCTCTGACCCCCTTTGAAAAATCTGATGAAAGCTATGGACTCTTACCAAAAATAAGTGGCTATATAGTAGTGTGGTGTTCAACTTCATCTTTTACCCTTGTCTTCTGAGGTCTACCCCTGGGACCCAGGTTAAGGACCACTGTTAGAGAAAATAGTGTGTTATACATACCTTGAAACCTAGAGCTTTATCTAATTTATCATTTTATTTCTCTCTGAACTTTGTATAACAGTTTACATATCATAAGCGTTTAGTAAATATTTATGGAATAAATAGGTGTATCAGATTTGTTTAGATTTATCAGATTTGTTTAAAGTACACATGGTACAGGAAAAGCCTGTCATTACTCATCATACCGTACAGATGTGACCGAGAGTCAGCTACCCATTGCCCACAGTTAGTATCTTCAGTCTCAGTTCACAGCCCCTACCCCGGCATGAAAAAGCTCCTACTGTAAGACAATGGTTGATACCACTGTGAATTTTAAGCGCCATGTAGTATATTTATTAGATAGTAAATCCTAATTCCCCTTACTTCTACTATCTTGTTACAACAGGTGAAAAGAAACTTGGTACTGTTATCACTCCAGACACATGGAAAGATGGTGCAAGGAATACCACAGGTATTTTTCCATTTGGAAAAGAAAAGTTGACTCCCGTGCTTCCTGTGATGAATGTTTTCACTTTACATTATTTGTAAAAAGAAATCTTGTGTGTGCAAAGTATTTCATCTCTTAAACACTAAAGAATCCCATATCCCCCAACAATTTAATGTCTTCTTTTATTTAGTCATCTGTCAGGCAAAAGAGCAAAATCATTAAATGATTTTTCCACCAATGAATAGATCACAGTAACTGGTTTGATTCTGCTTTATTAAAGTCTGTATTTAATTCCCACTTTCTTAACCTGACTTTTATATTCTTGAACAAATCATTTACACATTTACATTTTCACCGTCATATCATTAGATACAGTTGAGGTGTTTCCAAAGGGAAGGAAAAGAAATACTTGTACTTGTATGCAGGGTCTATGGCACCAAAGTAGTGGCTTTAAGACTTTACACTAGATAAATTAAGTGTAGACCCATCCCTAAAATCCTCTTTTGAGTCTGAGAAATAAGATGATTATCCATAATTTTATTGCCTCATAATAAATGTTTCCTATTCAAGTAGTGTCTTAAAAACCTGGCTATTAATTAGGGATTTTTGAAAATTTTGATACAGGCTAGTCTACTGGTAGGAGGCCAAAGAATGAACTTTTTAACTAATTGTTAAATGTTAAATGTATATGTTATAGTGAAATGTGCAGAAGTAACCCACTAAAATACATGTATATTTTGATTTAGAAAGTGGTGGAAGGAAGCTGAATGAAAATAAAGCTTTGACTTCAAAAAAAGCAAGGTAGGTATAAGAGCAGCCACTCTGCAGGCGTATAACTTTCCACTCTCTTTAGTCTTAATTAAACATACTGGAGTGAATTTGGTGTGCATCATTCTCTCATGATATAACAGAGTTCAGTAGGTCCTGGCATGCAAAGCCAAGCTGTCTGTTATAACCTGCTGGTTTCACCTTGCTCCTCCTCAATGTATGAATATATGAAGATATTAGTGCTATTTTTTTATATATAATTTCACCAGAAAACATGACTTTTACTTTCTCATTCTTTTTCTTTTGAAAACTACTATTTCTTATCCCTAAAACTACTTTGCAGTTTCATTGAGTTGCTTCAGTGTGGTATTGTTTATAGGGATTAGTTTTGGAATAATATTGCCTGGTTTGGGTTTACTCTAGGTTATTTGATCTGGTTCTTAATTATCATACAAATTGGAGGTAATAGATGTGGACAGATCAGAAGCTCTGGAGTCAGCCCTAAATTTGAATTTAGACTCTGTTCCTGCCCAGCTCTGGGACCTTCAGGAAATTAAGCCAATTTCTTGATTTTTCTAAACTTTACTTTTTCATCTAAGAATGGAGATAAAAGTGTCTCCCACCCTAAAAATCACTTTTTGACACCATGCTTTACTATTTTCAAGTTTTAAACATTCCATGAATCCTTTTAGCTGCCGCTCCCATTTCTTTGCTTCCCTCCACAGCAAAAGTTTTCAAAAGCCTTACTCTCAGATGCTTTCTCAGTGTCTGAAGTTCCATTTGCAATTTCAGCCACTCCCCTGGGGCCTTCAGCCCCACCAAACCCCTGCGGCTGCTCTCAGCAAGTTCACGCCTGATGGACTTCTCTATTCTTATCTTACTTAATCTTTTAACAGCTCTCATTTTTGCAACCTTCTGTTCTCTCTTGTTTTTAAATAGGCTCTACCTTCTGTGTGGGGCCTGAGCTCACAGCCCTGGAGATCGAGAGTAGAGTCGCTTTTTTTCACTGGTTGAGCCAACCTGATGCCTCTGCAACCTTCTGTTCTCTTGGCTCTTGGGTACCGTACTCTTTCTTCCTCCCAATTCACCATTCTTTCTCAGTCAAGTGCCTTTGGACTCAATCTTAGACCTTTCTCTTTTTTTTTCTATTTATAAATGTATACTCTCTCCTCAAGTGACTTTAGACCAGAGGCTTTAAATTCAAACAGTATGTTAATGACTATAAATCAGATTTATTTATTATCAGATAATGACTATAAATCAGATTTATTAATGACTATAAATCAGACTTCTTCTCTGAGCTCCAAAGATATATGCAAGTGCCTACTTGACTTACCAGTTTGGTGTCTAACAGGCACCTGTTCCTGCAGTCTTCTAATCATCACACCACTCCAGTCCAGCCCTTCGAGCCTAAGAGCTAGAATTCTGCACTGATCCCTCCCTTTTCCTCACTTCCCTTTTATCAGCAAGCTCTTTAGCACTGCCACCAGCATATAACCTGCATCTGCCTCCTCCTGTCCATCTCACTGCTATTACCCTCTTCCAAACCACTGGTATTTCTTCCTTAGATGCCATAATAACTTTCCATCTTTCTCCTTCCTCCCTAGTTCTTTATGGTTCAGTCTCATAGTAGCCAGAGTGGTCCTTTAAAGGTTACATAAATGCTTTCCTCAGAACCCTGCCTTGCTTTTCTTTTCATGCAGAATATGATCTAACCCCTCCCTTCCACTTTCTTACAAGGTTTTCCGTAATCTGGCCCATCACCCCTCTCTGACTTCCTTGTACCAACTCCTGCATCAGCTAGACCAAGCCCATTCCCACTGGAAGAGGTTTGCGCTTGCTGCTCCCTCCTCCTACAGTTCTTCCCATGGAGCTTACCTGGCTGGCATCTTTTTGTTACTAGGATCTCAGCTGAAATGTCACCTCCTCAGAGTGGGTCCCTAACTGGCATTTGAACTGATATCTTCCCTCCTTCCCCTCATGTCTGCCACAATGTCCTGTTTGAATTTTCTCTACAACATGTATTACTATCTGAAAAGCATGTTTGTTTCTTTACTTACTATCTGTCTTTTATCTATTGTCTTACTAGAATGTTAATTTGAGGAGGGCAGAGGCTTTGTCTGTCAGGTTCATCTTTGGTATATAAAACAGTGACAGGGACATAGTAGGCACTCACCACGTATTTGCTGAATGAATAAATACCTGTTTCATGACGTTACCCCAAGGATTAGAAATAATAATAATAATAATAATAAAGCTTTTAGTACCTGTAGTGCCTGGCTACCATAAGTACATAATGGTACTTATTAAATAATGGATATAAAACAGCACACGAGACTTAATCTTCAGTGGAGCATCACACTTAAGTATTTCTCTGACTTACTGATATCTTCTAAGACCGTTCAGTTATTAGGAACTAAGTTGTAATTTTTACAGATTGTACAGTTTTAGATACTTCCAGTTCCTTCATGCTCCCAACCTCACTCCAATATCATTAATAAGTAGCTATTACTTTGGATACTCTAAATGTCTCACATTGGAAAGCATACTATTGTATGACATTGAATCTAAGATACCAACATTTATTGATTGATTGATTGATTTTAAAGATTTTGTTTGTCAGAGAGAGAGAGATGCAGAGAGCACAAGCAGGGGTAGCAGCAGGCAGAGGGCAGGCTCCCCGCTGATTAAGGAGCCCAGTGTGGGACTGAGACCCACGATCACCTGAGCCGAAGGCAGATGTTAACCGACTGAGCCACTCAGGTGTCCCAGATACCAACATTTAGAAGATGTATCATTGCTTTAAGAAAGAAAAGTCTCTGTCAAATAACTGTAAGATTTCAGACATATTAAAATGTGCATCTTAGAATAAAATATGGTTTGAAGCAAAAGAAAACATCCATATGGATGCACACCAATTGAGCTTATTAAAAAGAAGAATAGTGTCTATCTTCCCTTGTGCAGAGTAAAGTGACATTCTGTTGGGTTTGGAGAAATTAACCTTTGAAAATGAGCTGTTGTATTTTACTACCCCAAGAGAAGAAGCAAGGTCTAGGACAATGTTGGTATTCGGTATATAAGTATTGTTAACAAAAGTTAGGACCAGTTTAGGGGGAATTATTTTCTACTCCAAGCACTATAAGGTAGCACTCTTACGTAGTAGAAACTCTTTTCTACAAAGGGATTGGATCAATTAATGGAAAATGTCAGCTAAAGGAGGCAGTTATTAAAACGTACATGTACCTTCTTGTAAGTCACAGCACATAATGGCACATGCATTCATCAGTCATTTGGCACTGAGACAGGTTTTTTGAGTCTGAGTCTACTGATAAGAGTTCTTCATCATTTTCCTCACATAAATCATAACCAGAACGCACATTTCCGGTATCTTGAAAGTGGAGCCAGAACTGACAGACTTGCAAAGTGCCGAGTCCTTCCACTTACGATCTTGCCCGTGATTCAGCAGCAGTTCAGTGATTCACACTGACCCAGCCTATCCTAAAGAATTCTCATAGTTTTTAATAGAATTGGTCATGCTTTTTGTACCCACATTTCATCAGTTTCCATAATATGAAACTGTATCATACACATAGATTGACAATTACAACTCATAGAAATGGGTTTGGGATTAAGGAACTGACTCTTCACCAGCATACAAGTCCCCTGGAAGGGGTAGGGGTGTGCAGGTGCGGGGAGAGTGGCCAGCCGCAAGTGTGCCATGCCTGGCAATTGGAGAGTGTGACAGAGAACAGAGTGCATGGTTTCATCCCATTCATTGCTTAAGGGAGGTCATTTAATTTAAGTGTTTCTATTCTATTATACATTTTTTTCTTTCTCTTTAAAAAAAAAAAAAAACTCTAGATTCGATCCATATGGAAAGAATAAGTTCTCCACTTGCAGGATTTGTAAAAGTTCTGTGCATCAACCAGGTTCTCATTATTGCCAGGGCTGTGCCTACAAAAAGGGTAAGTTTCTTTCAATACCGTTTTTCTATTCATATTGAGCCTATTCTTGATACTGTCTTAGATAACACAGGAAAGGAGTAGCCGTTCATAGATGCTGTCAAGTGCTCTTTTTTCTAAGGCAAGACAAAACTTGGGAATTGTTGGTAGTTACTTTCTTTTTCTCTTTTCTCATGCTGTTAACTACCGTTTTAAGCCTCGGGAATGACTTACATAAAGCAAACTGTTGATACTTGGTGTTTGATTGGTTTTAATAGTCGGTATTATGATTTGATTGCTTACATGTTTTGTCTGTTTGTTTGTTTTAGGCATCTGCGCAATGTGTGGAAAAAAGGTTTTGGATACCAAAAACTACAAGCAAACGTCTGTGTAGATGTGTTAATGACACTTCTGGCTTTCTATGTGATTTTACTTTTCGCTTTCAACTTCCAAGGCATAACACAGTTGTTCAAGTTCCAAAATAACACGTTATAAGGTAATATTAAACCGAGGAAGTTGATTGGTATTCATTTTTTGCTCTTAAGAAGTTCTAAACAGCAAGTAACTAGTTTCCTGCCTTAGTTCTTTTCCTCACAGGCAACTTGTTGAACTAGAATAAGTGGCAAGTTTAATGAAAAATATTTTCTGATTTCTGTAGATGGTTTTTATTTATCATTATTCATATAATTTTTATCCTCACTCTCTACTTTATTTATTGATATCGCAAAAGTGAGGAGGAGATCATTGACATTTTGCTCTGAACTTTGCATCAGACTTATAACTCTTCTTTCATTCCCTTGTTGTTGGCATAGTTCTTAGAATCAGCAGTCTCTTTATTAATTGTAGGTTCACAGAGCATTGAAATATCCGAGACTATTACAGCTGTATAGTTCCTTAGTCATTAGCCCAGACCCAAATCACAAGTTGTGTTTATGATACTTTTATTTGTTCTTGAGGCCAAAGTGCCAGTACCTTTTGTATGAGAATGAGAACACAAGGGGTCACCCCATATGTGTCCAAATGAATACACTGAATTTCAGAAGTACATTTTATCACATTACCTTGAATTCAAACTGTCCTGAAAGTTTAAAGCCAAGAAAACAGTGTTCATCCATGGGAATGTGTAATGAATGAGTTACTTCTTTTTAGGAAGCAAAACCTTGAAGCAAAACCCAAACTTTTTTTTGTTACCTCCCCTCCCCATCCACCAAAAATAAATAGAACAAAATCAACATCTTGACTCTCCTTTTATATACGACAAAGACTGCTAAAAGACAACTTTGAGGTTCAAACAAAGATTTTTTTCTTATGCTGCCTTTAGAGGTTGAAGACTTCTGCTTTTGAAACTTGCAGCCTACTTTGGGAAACCAAAAACGTATTTCCTGTTGCCAAGCGCAATATGTATAAATACATATCACTATAAAATATGTAGGACAGATAACATGATGATGTACGTGGTATAGATACTACATTTCTTTCTTTTTTTTTTTTTAACAGATCAACAATTTTTTTATTCATCCTCCTCCTCCTCTCCCTCCTCCATCTTCTCCTCTTGATCCTCCTTGTCGTCTTCACCTTCCTCTTCCACTTCCTTCCGGGCAACTTTGTTGGGTGTTGGGATCCTTTGCACCATCAAGCTTTCCTTCAGACTTACAGTCAGCGACATCCTTCTCGTACGTCTTAGGCTTCGCTGCCTTACTGTTGTAAGGTTGCTTTTCAGTGTCACTTAAGTTATTCCACATCTCACCCAGCTTCTTTGCCACATCTTCATTAGAGATACCAGGGTTTGTAGATTTGATCTTGGGGTGGAATTCTGAACAGAACCAGAAGAATCCAGATAGTGGCCTTTTGGGGGTATTAGGGTCCTCCTCCTTGCTGCCCTTAGCTGGTCCATAATCCTTCACTTCCCGATCATAACGCACTTTATCTGCCTTTGCCATTTCATCAAATTTAGACTTCTCTTTCCCAGACATTGTCTTCCACCTCTTAGAGCACATCTTGGAAAATTCTGCAAAATTGACAGGGACCTCTGGGTTTTTCGTCTCAGGTTCTCTGCGTGTCTGCACAAAGAAGGCATAAGCAGACGTCTTGCCCTTCGGTTCTTAGGATCACCTCTAGCCGTCCTGGCTGTATTGTTCGCTAGTCTGGGCAGCACCTAGATAACTACTTTTCTATTTGTTTTAAAATTATTATGGAAAGTATTTAAAGTTTTAACTTTATCTGTAAGGTTTTTCAAATAGTGTTTCTCTAAGATATATTGTTATTCTTATCCAGAAAGATCATAAGGGTGATCCAAAATATAACAAAAATAGCTCTGAGAGCCGGAAGTATCTCCTCGTACTTGAATCAATTAGGGGTTTTTCATTTAAATCATCACAAGGAAACCATAATAGGATCCACTTAGAGAGTGGCCCAGATCCGTTAAAAGTTGGGTTGGTTGGCTTTAGGAAAGTACATTTCTCAGGTATCAGCTGGGATCTAGACTTCTGCAACTTACATTTCATATTCATGCCTTGCATAACTTCCAGAAACAATCTCCTGGCCAGACTCCAGTTCCTCCATGAAGATTTTTATTAATATTATACTCAAGATAGACTCAAAGTATTATCAATCTTCATATTATTGAAATCATAGTATGCCATAAATTGAATAAGAGTTGTTAGATGAGGAGGAAAATGCCCAAACAAAACATGAGCATAAAATATTTTTTAAAAGGAAGGCGTTAAAAACAAACTATAAGGTATGCCTGGGTAGCTCAGTCAGTTAAGCATCCAACTCCTGGTTTCACCTTAGGTCGTGATCTCAGGGTCCTGAAATCAAGCCCTGAGACAGCTCTGTGCTGGGAGTGGATCCTGCTTAAGATTCTCTCCTTCTCCCTCTGCACCGCCCCCAGCACTCTCCCCGCCTCTAAAACAACAACAAAAAACTATAAGATAACAGGATTAAGGCCAAATAGCTTTTATCAAAGTAAATATAAAAATGATGAAATAACATAATTTTTAAAATCTCATTGTATTTAAAATATACATATTAGAAACAAATACCAATAGAACACCTTTAAGTACATTCATTCATAGATTATGCATCTGTCAAAATTATGTAATTACACATGTGCAGAAGCTTGTGTGCACATATTAAAAAAATCCGTTTTCTCTGTGGAGTGGAACTAAACGTTGAGAAAAGTCTTAACCGTTTTGCCCTCGTACCACCTTACACATTTTAGCTTCTATTTCCCTTACCTGGGGGAGCAAGAGACTACTAATTACAGTGTCCTAGAAATATATGTATTTACATGCACATATATGTCTGAAAATTTTAAGTAGAAGAAACCTACATTGTTCTACATTTAGACTTCTTTTTTTTATGTTTCTCATGTTGGGTTTACCATCTTCTATCTCTTGTTATATATTTTTTCTTGACCCATCTGAGAGTACATTGCAGACCTACCGTTTCACCTGTAGTGTTACAGATAGACTTCATTTAAAAAAGCACACTTAATACAGTTCTCAAGTTCAGGCATTTAACAGTGATAGAATGCTTTTACTGATAGCCCCTATTCCAGTTTCAGTTGTTCCATTGGTAATTTTGTTTTTCAGCTACAGAATCTACTCCAGGATCGTATGTTAGATTCTCAGGATTCTGTCCTCTAGAACGGTTCTTCAGCCTTTGTCTTTTGTAGTAGTGATCTATTGAAGAATACAGGACAGTTAAAATAGAGATTTTCCTTCAGTTTGGATTTTTGTGATGTTTCCCCGTGGTTAGATTTGGGTCATGCAGTATGAGCTAAAACACTATATGAGTGATGTGGCCTCCCAGCATCACATCCAGACTTAGCAATATCCCTTTGCCCCATATTGATGTCCATTTTGAACAATTGGGTAAGATGTCATCCAATTTCTCTGCTGTAACGATTTTTCCTTTCACAATTAGTACATAATTTGTGAGGAGAAATTTTTGAGACCATGCTGATATTCTATTCCTCATAAACCTGCCCCTTGTAGATTTAGCACCCTTTGATGATTCTTACCTGAAAAACATTTTTCACTGTGATGTTTACAAAACTGATTTTCTAACTACATCATTCTTTTTGTATTAACTAGTTGTCATCCGACACTAAGGGGGAGATTTCCCTTTATCAGTATAGATACCTGTATAGAATAAATCCTTTTTTTTTTTTTTAAATGGGGCATCTGGGTGGCTCAGTCATTAAGTGTCTACCTTCAGCTCAGGCCCTGATCCCAGAGTCCTGGGATCGAGCCCTGCATCAGGCTCTCTGCTCAGCAGGAAGCCTGCTTCTTCCTCTGCCACTCACCCTGCTTGTGTTCACTCTCTGGCTGTTTCTGTCTGTGTCAAGTAAAAATCTTTTTAAAAAATCATGCTAAAAATAAATAATTGAATGCTTTTTTCCCCCTGACCATTGGAGTGTTAGTTACAGATACAATGCCCTTTTACCACAAGTGCTTAAGTGTGTATTTCCTAAGAACCAGGATATCATTATGGTGTTGGTTATTCTATTACCAGGAGTTAATTTGGATCACTGGTTTTAAGTGGTATCTGCTAGATTTCTTCACTGTAAAGTTAATATTTTTTTTCCATTAAGTTAAGCATTTTGTAGGGAGATACTTTGAGACTGTAAATATTCTGTTTCTCAGCAAACTTCCACATACTAATTTTAGCATCCAATAATGTTTCTTGGCTGAATTAATTGTTACCCTGAGAGTTGCCAAATGGCTTTCCAATTCTGTCATTCCTTTTACATTTACTAGTTGACATTCTCTGGTAAGGACAAGCTTTCTTCTTCCAACTTAGCGTGAATTCATGGATTGCTATTTTATTCAGGTCTGTAACTCTCATTTGTTCCGATGTCAAGTTGTCCCAGATTTGGCCAGTGGGAGACCTTTCAAGGTGGCTCGTGGGTCTTCTAGACATGTTCTCATTCTTTCTTGAAGAATTCCTTACTTTCTAGCACAAGATGCTTCAAATTTATCATATTTTTTTCCTACCCAGCCCGGGAGACAGCCATTTCTCCAACAATCCCTAGTTTCTCTTAGTGGAGAATGGTGTTTGGATGCTAAGGTCTGGGCCCTGCTGGGTTGCCATTGAAACTAGTTCTCTTCAAGAAAGGGGCCTTCAAGAAAGAGCTAAAAAACACAGATACTAGAAACCACAAGTTTACTAATACCTCCATCTCCAATTCAGCCTTACTGGGTTCTTCCTTGTCTTCTCCCATTCCATATTGTATCTTCTTCCTCAGGGAGAACCCTGGCTCCCAACATCATCCATAGAGTCACTCATTTGCAGAACTCTGAATTTTTGTTTATATTGGTCTTGTATTTTTCAATTAAAAATATTTTAGGAGGGCGCCTGGGTGGCTCAGTGGGTTAAGCCGCTGCCTTCAGCTCAGGTCATGATCTCGGGGTCCTGGGATCAAGTCCCGCATCGGGTTCTCTGCTCAGCAGGGAGCCTGCTTCCCTCTCTCTCTCTCTGCCTGCCTCTCTGTCTACTTGTGATCTCTCTCTGTCAAATAAATAAATAAAATCTTTAAAAAAAAATATTTTAGGAAAGTCCACAGAAAAATTACACATGTGAATTTTTCATCAGTCTGGTATTTCAGAATAAAAAAAAAAAGTTTGGAAACATGTGCCTATGCCTCCTCC